GTCGCTCCATCAGACCGTTCTGGGGATGCAGAAGAACCTGCAGCCAAAGGACCTGCAGTTGAAGATGAGGAGGATGCTGAGGCGCTGCCATTAGCCTCAATTGTTGGGGCTGGGGCTGATGCTCGCCCAGAAGAGGAATTGAAAGAGCTAGAGCCAATCAGGCCAGCTGAGCAGCGCCCGCGGAAGCCTCGTGGACGAGGAAAGGGACGAGGGCGTGGACGTGGTCGCGGCAAGAAAGCCGCTGAAGAAGAGTCTGAAGAAGATACAGGTGGAGCTTCAGCCTCCACCGCAAATCCGAAAGCCAAGCTCAAGAACCACACCCAGAAGTCTGCAAAGGTCAAAAGCAACAAGGCTATTGACACTGATCCTTCAGGCCATGAAGCTCCAGGTAAGAAGAACAAGAGAGCCAAGCATGCATCTACTTCTGAGGTGCCTGCCAAAAGAAGCCGCCGGAAGAGCCAAGCGAGTGACAAGAAGACCCCTGAGAAGAAGGCACCTTCGGAAACAAAAGGTCCTGGGTCTAGGAAGGGCCGAAGGGTCAGTGTCTCTGAGACTGAAGGCTCTGAGAGAAAGAGGTTGAAGGCATCTCCTGGTGAAGCGAGCTCTTCTTCCAAGCCTGATGGTGGCAAGCGGACATCGAAGAGGATGCCTGCCAAGAATGCAGCTGTTCCTGAAGCTACAACTTCCGAAGCACCAGCACGGAAAGAGAAGGATGCCTCAATGGAGGCAAATGAAGGTGCCACGGACGAGAACCCGAAAGAGCTTTCAGAAAAGGAGATTCGGAAGAAGGCTCAGAGTCGTAAGAGCAGCGCATATCACGCCGCCAAAAAGAAGGCTTTGAAGGATGGACGCACGATGGAAGCCGCCATTGAGATTGCCAAGCGTGCAGCTTGGTTTGCAAATAAACTTGCATGATGACTTCGACCCAAAAACACAAAATCACTTTTCTCTGAGGCATACCGCAACGCAGCCTGACGGGGAGGAGCTTCAGGATGAGAAAACCGCGCGTGTTAGCAGTTCGATCTTTAGATCCCAGCAACTTGTTAACGAAACAGTGGTACTTCTTTTTTATGTCGATCTGCATGTGATCATGGACAGGCGTGCGATGTCCCAATGGATGTTGAGAGCGATGGCAGCTGGTCATGCTGGCTCAATTCTGCACTGCACAGCCTGCGCTGTACTTTACTGCGAGCCAAGTCTACACTGCTATTTTGTGTGCGTGCAAGAAATTTTTTAAACCATAGAAGCCACCTCATTCGCTAGCCAGTGAGGATCAATACCACATAGCTAGTGTGAAGGGTGTTTTGAGCAATGACTTGGTGCCCTGTCGCCAACCTACAGCATGTGCAAGCACCAAAGGCGAGTCCGATAGATGTAATTAGGGTGAGATGCTGTGTGTATAGATCGACTTAAATTCATGAACCAAACATGATGTGATTGCACACAGGTGCTCATTGCTTTGGCCTGGGTCTTATGACACGTATACATGCATGCTATCATGCTGGTTTTCCTGCGCCCTCCCAGGTTTTGCTCGCAGGATGGATGCACATAGATCCTCTTGA